TCCTGGGCTCCCTGTGGTTACATGAAGCCAACCAAGAAGCAGTCTGTGGGTTGGTATAATGCACACAGTTTAAAGGGCGGTGGTCATCGCGCAGCGCTTGTTCGAGTTTTATGTCAATCAAATAACGAGTCAATCAAAAGCATAATACGACACTATAGATGTATTATGGCAATAGAAATACATTTGATTGTATTCCACAAGTACCATTCATGCGAAACAGAACCTCAACTGAAAATTGGACAGTTGATCATATGATTTCACTCTACAATACAGTTTGTCAAACATTTGTCAAACATTCACCCACAGGGCGTAGCTCAGTGCATGGGGTGTGTTATACTGGGTAAACTATGATTGGGTATGTTTGGTTAGACATGATGTGTGTTATGTTTTGCAATGAATGTGTAAGCTATATTCGACATAAAGATGTGTAATTTATGTTCGACATGTAATTATTAATCGATTTGTGTTTAATATTAATAATGTATAATTTATGTTCGACATGTAATTATTAATCGATTTGTGTTTAATATTAATAATGTCTAATTTATGTTCGACATGTAATTATTATTCGATTTATGTTCGTTATGTCAAGTTCAATACGAAATGATGTGTAATCTATGTGCAATGTTTAAGTATATTTTGTGTTTGATATAATGTGTAATTTATCTTGTACATATTTACCTTTACAACATTTACAGTGTTTTAGACCCCCGCAACATTCCGGATCTTCTCTCGCAACGTAACCGGCTGGACACGTAACTGGTTTGCATAGTCCTTGAAACACCAAGCGACATGTATCGTTCACTGTTAGCAAAAATAGAAAACGTACAATTTTTAAACCTGTATACGTATTTATATTTATAAATAGATGTAGCTTAATTAGTCACGAAGTAAAACTTCTATAATCAAATTTATACTTCGTTAATATCCCGAGGTAGTTGATTTCAGTATCATGTGACATTTTTTGTCGAAGCACCTCATTAAATGCGCCATTTTGTTCATGCTAGTTCATAGCCGGTTATGACCACTAAACGTGTCTTTACTCATCTTTTAACCAACGATTTGTTAGTTAAATGTTTCATTTGAGAAAATATTGAGTCATATTCATCACGTAACATCAAAATCAAGATACAATCGCCTAATGTGACGTCATTCGAAACAATTGCGCGCGTTTCCAGACCCAGTCCATTTATCCGCCAAAGTGCACACTTAATGTTACTTACAGGCAGTTTCACAGTCAACTGAAAAAAAGAAAGAAATCAATTGTAGCAATTAATGTATTAAAAAAACAACACATTTTTGATTTGGAAACAGTTGGTACGTTTGTGGTACCATATTTCAATGAATATTGACATTGACATGGACTACGCATTACAGTGTCAGTAAATAAAATATTAATGAGACAGAACACTGATTTATAGTTTTACTTTCTGATCCATAGTGTCACTGATAACCAATATTTGTAGATGATATTCATGCAATATCAATATCACATCTTCAAACAATGACAATGACCTGATTTTTTTTTGAAGAAAAGGAAATAAAATATGACATAAAATGTTTGATTTTACCTGTACAACAAATCTTCCCTGCATCTGAACATTTACAGTTTTTACCGGGGTAAACGATTTTTCCGGGTGGGCAGAGATGGTCGCCATGGCTGTAAGGAGTCTCACACGATCCACAACCACTCAGGTCATCATTACAATCGTCTAAGGACAATGATATTATTTAAAGAAATTGGTTAAACTTTATACAATTGCAATATATTTCAAAACCTATTGAATATGTAATGAGGGTCTTGAACTAGTTTTTGAACTTACAAACCAGAATTGTTGTGGTTTCACCATTTTCAAATAAAAATGGCCACCACGGTTGGATTTAAACGCTATGGAGAAAACACAAAGTCATTGTTTTCTACTAATTTGTATTTGTATTCCCGAATATGTATTTAATACAAGTCAAAAAACAAACTTACGAACACAGCATGATGCACCCGTATTACATACACCTGTGGAATCCTCCATCTCGTACTGCATACAGTTGTCTCCACTAGGTTTGATTTGGCGACAATTTCCGCCATGGTCTTTGCAATCAACTATAAATATAACATGTATTTACTTCAATACTCAGATTGTATTGGCGCCATTATTAAGAATCGACAATTTACACATGTTAAGGGCTTATTTACATGTTACAAGTTAATACTGAACATATCACTGCATCTTCCTTCTATCTACGTATTTACTCTAGGCCCGCCTTTATTTCCCGTTATTTCTTCCGTCTGTTGAAGACGAAACCTTATTGTGATTACTTTGTTTAGTATTTTTCATTTGATAACCGTTGCACCGATTGACTCCATATTTGAAATGTTAGCAAAAGTTGTAGTACATGTCCTCAAATGAGGAACAAAGGTCACATGATCTAGCCACCATCTTGGATTAACATTTTGTTTTGCATTTCATTTGCATAATTGTTATTAAAACAATTTAAGAAAAATCATTTCGTCGGCCATCGCACAGGGACTATACGTATTCTCCACGTTTCACATCACAGCAACAACTGTTCCAGAGTAGAGAATTTGTGAATGTTTTTTTCACATGTTTTCACATTGCTATAATGAAGGCGTCATAACGACTAACATAACGAATGACCATTTATGTTAATGCAACCTCATTATTATGCAGGACTGTAATATCTCAATTACTGTTGTAGAAAAGCACATGCAGTCATTGCTATAATGAAGTCACCGGGCAAGAAATGTGATTAACATATTAGATAACCATATATGGTCATGCGACCTCATGATTATGCAAGACTGTAATATCTCAAGCACATGCAGTCATTGCTATAATGAAGTCACCGAGCAAGAAATGTGATTAACATATTAGATAACCATATATGGTCATGCGACCTCATGATAACATAATATCTCAGGCAGTAGTGAAAATTGTGACATGCAACCAGCGCTCGCCCTTCTGAAATTTAAATTACTTTAAAGGTGCAATCTGATACTTTATTGGTGTGTTTATTGATGGTGGTCAGAAACCAGAGCGGATGCACACATATGACAGCAGCTGTTAGTTAGTGTGTCCGCCTCAAATCGGGAAAATTATAGGTTCAACTCTCATGGTCGACTGCCCATTCAGCAGTTAAATTAAAGGAGAACATGCTGCCACGTGCCAGGCTCGCGGTGGTCAGGTTTGGAATCATGGTGCAAAGTCGGGGCGTTTGTAAAACTGTCGGTTCTGTGTTCAGTTCCTGTTCTCAGTGCACATAAATAAATCATCATGTAGCGAGCAGCGGATTGCTGCGGGATATTTGGAATTTACTCTGAAAATGCAGGACTCCATTGGAAATGATAGAACCCCATTTGAAAAAAATGAATGACCAAGCTTATGTAAATTAAATGAATAACTAACATGGTTAAAGGGCATTAGAACATTAAATTCAAACTAAATACTGAAAATAGTTTGTGACGTATGTCTTACAATTTACATATTTTCGTACATAAACAGGACATAAAACTAATAATAAACGTGAACGTGTCATCTGTATTTTTTATAAGATAGAACAGATTGTTGATATTGTTTAAAATCACAACTCAAATTCGCCTGCATAAACAACATAGTATAGGCTCAGCGAAGCTTTGATCAAAACCAATGAACCTATCACGCAGAAACAGGGGCCACCCCCTTTGTAATGTCTGTCCAGCCCCTGAATCCAAAAGTATGTTGCTATCTTGATAAAGCCCAACAAATATGCAGATTGCTACGTGGGAAGGGTTTTATATGCAAGGAGAGTGCGAGTAGGTGGGTTGTACCTGACTTAACACCCTTCGCCCAATATATGTATATTTTGTAGAAATTCTCATACTTTTGAAGGCCTCCATTGAGTCTTAATATGCACTAATTTGTACGAATTTCATAACGGGAAATGGACATATTTCTATTTTTGAATCGAACATTTACTACTCAATGCGTGAATCGTATTTGTGAGTGTTGACATTTCGGAAATTGTGGTTATTGTTCTCATGTTTTTACATACTGAAATTAAAGCAGGTTGGCTGTATACACACAATCTGCATAAAGACTAACTTTTAAATATTCTTCATCTAAACACGAAAAATCATAGAATAAAATACTGCAAAAGCTAATGATACTGAGTTCAAGATGGACCAGTGTGTCTGTCTCATCGACCACTATGTGAGCTCCGAGTTCGATTCCAAATTTGTGGTCACATTATGTATTTGATATCACTTAAGTTGACTTAGCTCAGTACAGGGACGGATACAGGATTTTTTTTATAGGGGGTCCAAACTTTAAAATCGCCAGACTAAGTTAGTATTTTTTTTTATATTATACAAAAACAATTGTTCAAGGGGGTCCGGGCCCCAAGAACTCTCCCCTAGATCCGCCACTGCAGTACTCCCTCTAAATGCCATTTGAAACACGGTTGGTGTTCGTTGATATTGAACCGACATGTTTACGCGTTTTGCTATTCTGGTTTTATATTGAACGAACCAGCTCGCAGTAGTAACCCTTGCAAAAAAAATTGTTTTTTTTATAAAGTAAAGCATATTTTATTCACATTCGTTATAAATACTGTATAGAGTGGCAGCCTGCACAGATTGCTATGAACAGCGGATGAACATTGCATGTCATAGGTAATGAAAAGCTCGGTGTCACTGCGTGAAAATAGTATACAATTACAGAATCGGACACCGTAACTAATGTGTTACCATATGGGACGTATGGAACAATAAACTGTTCATATCGGCACGTACATTTATTCCTTTTACGGTATTACGAATCTTCTCGATTCTATTCTTTTCACCATGGGATTAACCGGTATCAGATGTGTTTATGGGGTAAAAAGAGAACGTGAAACCGCTGTCATCGTTAATACACCACCTTTTATGCGTGTTTTTTTGGTTGAAATTCACAACGCGTAATTGCTACAGAGCAACAAGTGACAGTATCTTACCAGTCACGACTTACCAATGTTCAAAGTTTGTATGCCTGTCTATGATCAGTTACAAATTGTCCTACACGTGAACTTTTGTAAGACAATGAACGTGGACATACAGCCTGCATTTCTCACGACGGCTCAAATAGGTGAAATCATTCAAACCCGAGCAGCACAAAGATTTGAAACAATGTTTTGTGAGAATAAGTTATTGTAGACATTTGGGGATACCATAAGTCGACATTTTTTAATCAAATTGTGCCCGGGTATAAATGTTTCTAGAAGTAATTATAACATACATTTAAAAATGATAAAAAAAAACATACGAAAATATGATATTTTGTGTTTTTAGTTCAAATTGTTATAAAACGAAAATGAAAGTTTCCAATCATATGTAGTTCTACAAACTAAAAAAATAATTTGCAAGTATGTGACAATTTTTTTCTTAGTTGCAGTTCTTGAACGACTTTTGATTAGTTATTTTAACTCCCTGTCTACCGATTTGCTTGTGGTTGGCAGTACCCATATGAACAAAATGGTAGCTGTGAATATGTACTCGAATAACACAATAACCTTGCCAAACACAACTTATGTATCGCAAAACCTTCAAATACAACAATTATTTCAAATTATGGGGCGAAAAATCCAAACTTTCGAATATTCTCGCCAATTAACTATGTCACACATACAATTTTAAATTAGTCCCAGTAAGCTATTAATAACATTCACGTGAACGTTATTTTGAAAGTGTTATACTCCTGTTATGTCGCATTTCACGAATGTAGAACATCTTGCTATTAACACATCTTCAACATACGTTAAAAGTAATTCCTACCATCGCAATAGGGGCGAACTCACAATTCAGCCCATGTTGTTCAGCAAAATAATTTACTGTTTCAACAAAAATAACGAAAAAGTATAAATTCCCCATTTCCACATAGTGTTGTTCATTTGCTATATTCTACTTCATTAACCCATGTTAAACTATAGGGAAATTTACAAATAATTTTCAAAAAAGGGTTAGGTTAACTCACATGTACTTGGCAAGTCATCCTGTCGTTTGTCCGGGGCATCTAGACCTTTATATGCTCGTTTCATCTGGAAATACATCAGAGATAGATACATTATGAATAGCTTACATTTACGGTTACTGTAAACACATTAAATATTCGCTGATTTCCAATTTCTCTATTTTGACCGATAAGTGAAACCCACGTGAACATGTCAATGACATTGAATTCTTTGTTTTTCTGCCAAGTTTGTGAACCCAGTAAAATGGTTTGAAGAATCAAAATAATTAAATACTGATGTAAATGAATGGTTTTACACTACTTCAGTTATTAGGCAAGGGATGTTTTTACCCCATTTTATTGAAACTCGGGATGGTATAATTTAATCTCTTTACTTAATAACATTACAGTTATCAGTCTGAAATTCTAATTTGTCAAGCGAGCTCTTATAAAAAAAAAAGACATAAAGCGGCCATTCGAAATACACGCAATCAAATTAAGTTTGCCTTTGATGATGAAATCTGATTAATTGAGAAGTTTGCTGTTCATTGGATAATTATGTGTGTCACATGGCATTGGATCGTCGGAGTGTTCCACACATGTGTACATTTTATTCCGTCGTTATTCACATTCGAAAATTAGAAACATTTAAGTTCTTAATAATAGGTTCTACCCGCCCTCTAGCGACAAAGTGCGTCTATGACGTAAATGATAGAAAAGAAGGCCGCTCACATCATCGCAGCTATTTGTATTAGTAATCGTTTATTATTAACAACACTACTTAGTAATGAATTCCATATATTATAATTGACAAGTACGCTACAAAGAGATGAATTGATTTGAAAAACATTACTTATAGCCGACTTCTTTATTTTGTATAGGAATTGGTACATTGCGCCACGGTACGACTTGCTGAATGTGTAGTATTGAGTATAAGTTATAAGTTTTAAAACAATTACATTTATAACTTACGAAATGTGATATTTCGATCGATTGAACGGTCACGGCCAAAAACAAGACACACATAAACTGCGTGGTCTTCATCTTTGTACTGAAAAACAAACATGCAGGTTATCACATTACACAATGGTTTATTTATGTTTAAAATATTTAAATACTATATTATAGTTACACATCTAAATATTAATAGTGGGTTATAAATATAACATAGTGTTCTTCTGGTAGTCTGATGAACTTGTGCGGTCACTAATTGGTGTATTGTACTGTACGTCATTGGTGTACTGTGCAGTACGTCATTTGTGTATTGTGCAGTACGACATTTGTGTATTGTGCAGTACGTCATTTGTGTATCGTGCAGTACGTCATTTGTGTATTGTGCAGTGCGTCATTTGTGTACTGTGCAGTACGTCATTTGTGTATTGTGCAGAACGACATTTGTGTATTGTGCAGTACGTCATTTGTGTATTGTGCAGTACGTCATTTGTGTATTGTGCAGTACGTAACTCAGTAACGTAAATCATTAGTATAACATACCGTAAATCATTTGCGTGTTGTACGTTAGTGTACAATAACCCACTTTTGTATTTCACAATAACTAATTAGTAAACTACACAGCGTGTCATTGGTGTATTATACAGTGACTCATTTGAGTATTGTACAGTAAGTCATTGATGTACAGTAAGTCACCTCACTGGTGTAATGCAATGTTACTCATTGGTGTATTGTATAATTCATTGTATAATGTATTGTAACGTATCCCGTTGGTGTATTGTAGAGAAATGTTTTATTGTACAGTGACACATTGGTAACAGTACAGTGAGTGGTTGTTGTATTGTGCAGGTATATCGTAGTACGTGCTATATTACAGGGTCAGTTCTGTGAGTCCCACCTGTCAGTGGTTAATGTCCATTGTTTATATATCAACTCTAATATTTCCATTCTAAATGAATGGTGACTTTACCAAGATCGACATATTTCGACACGAGCATAAACGAAATCAACGTCCCGAGACAGAACATGTTGTTTTTTGATTACCAATGTTTGCAAATTGGTATATTTGAATATTTACTATAATTTCGATACTTTTCGTCCAGAATTGTGATACCACGAATGCACATCACATTAATTACAGTATTATAAATCCCTACAAATAGTGTGGTTGACACATGGGCTACCAACTCTTAAAAGTTAGTGTCCCTGATGAAAAATTGGGGGACCAAGTTGCCAGCGCTATTAAAACCAGTATAAGCAGTATATGTATATAACACTGTCAGTGATAATATTTGATGTACTAAGGATGTAGTAGAGGTTTTCGTGAAGTAATATTCACACCATATACTTCGCGAGAGTTCATAATTCACACTATTAGAAATCCATATTATATTAGATGCAACTTTCATGTAGCCCTTATGCGTATTTTTTTAAACTGTAGAAAAACATGAAAAACATATATATAACAGGTAAGCATCTAAAGTTGTTCTAGAACTTGTTCATACTTGACTGTGTGATTTATTATTTATTTAAAGTACATAGGAATGTGCCAACCGTTTAACAGTGTTAAAAATATAACAATTATATAAAGAAAAACAATATATATATAATATATAAAACATTAATTTGGATTTTATGTACCAAAAAAAGATGGACACTAGATAGCTTATTACTTTACTGACGGTCATTATATAATTTACTGCTCCAAAAAGAGGGCGGAAACGTTACCCGGCCCGGCAGAAAACTTGACGGACTCTGGCGACCGGTAATGTTTAAACACTGTTAATTACATTTTATTTTGTGGAAAATTTATAATTCTTTTTTAAATCGTAGACTATACCACGACTGGTATATTCAGTGGCGTGTACATTGCTATTAATTATTCCAGTGGTATTATGGAACCCGGGAGTCGAAAACTTACAAAAAAGGTAAGTAAGCGTGCGTTTGCGCCAGGCTTGTGTCAGGCCACACGTGCGTTATATTTCCGTAGAACAGGTCAGACCAAAAGCAGCCTTTCTTATTGGTTGGAAGCTTTCAATTAATGCTAACGTGGTGACAACTATGGAGGGCGCGGCAGAACAGTCCCGTCGTAGAAATTTCGCGTCAGCGCGATAGATTACACAAGCTCGTTTTGTTTAATTATCATATAAAGCAATAATATTTCCACAACTGGGACAGTCTAATAAATGGTATGTGGTAGATTAGACACCACGTCATAACCCAGGATACACAGAGTAATGATAAATTGGATAAATAAATGACGCATTTAATGTAATTCATCTGATATATATCGAACATTCTAGAAATAACACAACTGGACATGAATAAATACATATATAATGAGTATGGTCTCAAACAATTAAGGGTACTTTTGTTGGGTTATGAAATCATGGGGCATGGCTATATTATAATATTGGTATTTAGGTGTTGGGGAGTTAGGGTCTAGATTGTGCGATAATATTGGTTATGGGGACACGGGAATCGATGTATGTGTAGATAGTGATAGTGGGAATAAGGAATTGATGAATGGATAAGGATATTTTCATTGGTGCAAGAGGATTTTGGGAATATCTGTGTATGTGTAGGAAGATGGTATTGGTCCTGGAGAATTGGGGATGATTGGGTCTATGTAAGAAGATACTATTAGTACCGGATTATTGGGCAGGGTAAACGTCTCTTGATGCTATTGGTCCTGGAGAATTAGGATGATTGTGAAATGATCTGGGTCTGTGTAGGATACACTGGCCATGGAGGGTCTCTGTAGGGGGATAATATTGGTGGGATGGGGAGAGGGGTTATGATATAGATGTAACTTCATGGACACTCGTACTTATAGTGTAATTTCAACGTCAAGTGATACAGGTTTCGGGAGCTCTTCAGGTTTGACCCCCTCGCCTCACATAAACAATTATGTATACGGTAGTGTTTTTATATTATTAAATCGTTTTTTTGTAATATGGTCTACTTGTGGTAGAGCTCCAAACTTATTACTGTGTGTATGTTCACAACACTGTCTAAATATATAAAGGAACATAGTTTGATGGCTCCGAGGAAATCTACATATCTACTTAAAGATATAGATAGTGAGATTGTTAGGGTGTTGGTGTTCTATGTAATCAGAGGAAAGCAGTCTAAACAATTGGGGTGTAGGTGTATAAATGACAGACATTTGACAGTTGAGTATGAAGATGTATTATTGGTCTAATGACAATCGTGGAAAGATGGAGATGACTGTAAATTTTGAACATATTTTGTCTGATTTCATGATTTATGTTTGAGTTCTTAGTATTTTAAAAGAATCAGATCGTGTGCATGCAAGGGATCGCTAATACTTTGCTACCGTTTAAAAGACAAATATGTTTATCCATGGCTTGGTGTAATAACGACCATCCAACGAACCATTCAAACGTATAACATTAAAGAAGCAGTCAGTCTACATAGAAATATAAAGTTTCACGGTTGAAACAAATCCAGTGACTACAATCTACGCAATATTTCCAGCACACCACGTCAGCGTTAACAAATGTGTATCGAAGACCAACCAACACCCAATAAAACCCGTCTATAAAATATCACGCAAGTAAAACTATATACCTTCTAGATGCTGAGACGAACACAGAAAAAGAAGAGACGAGATAAAATAATGTCAAACTCACCAATGTCTTGATTCAGCAGATATAATGCTGCCTACTGATGAGCACTCTGTGAACTGATATATGCGTTTGTGGGAGTCTTATAAAAACAATTGCATTTGGCCGTCCGCTGATGTTTTCTGAAGGATTTAAATCCAAAACAGCTGTGTCCACACCCAGCCCATCAGTTGTGTGAAGTCATATGACTACATATGGTGCCACATTTTATGACAGTGTGACGGTAGTTCAATCTAGTATAACCAGTCCCGACAAGATAAATTAGAAGAAACTGGGAACAATTAACTTAGTGCGGGGTAAGGTTTGCACTGGGAATATACATGAATTTGTATAGCTATTTTTATTTCATTTAAAATCGTATTTCATTTGTGGAAATTGAATTATGAATATTATTTGCATGAATTTTAATTGTATCTTCTAGTTTGATAAATTTGCCTAAATGTCTCATAACAGAATTAGTTTTAATACCGAATCGTCGTTCATGATCGAAATAATGATAGG